GCGCGTGGGCAAAGACGTGCTCAGCGGAAGTGTGCATGGCCGACAGGCAAAGGGCTGGCGTGAAGCGCTGGCCGAGGACCACCTGCGCGGGGCGCCCGTGCTCCACAGGTGGACGAAGGACCCAGGGGAAGGTGCAACCGAGGTGGTAGACGGCACCGTGGAGCGCATCCAGGACCGCTCGGCTTGCCCAGTGGCTTTACTCACAAAGTACCAGGAGGAGTGGGCACGAGTATGGAACGTTCGTCCCCCTGATCAGCCAGATCAAGTATATCACGCCGTGCACAAGGCCATCACCGCGGCCATTGAGCAAGGTGGCCATGACCATCGGCATCACCTCCTTGAGCCAGAGAAGGTCAGAAAGACATGCAGGTCATTCAAAGCCAAGACTTGCAAGCCAGGAGGCATATATCCACGCCGCCTGGGATGGCTCAGCGACGCCAGGCCGCTGACGACGCTGCTGAACATCTTCACATGAGCAGGCGTCTTCCCCACGGACGAGCAAGAGGTGCTCACGGCGCAGTATCTCAAGCCCGCTGGAGGGCGCCGACCCATTGGCCAGTTCAAGAGCCTCTACCGAATATGGGGACGATGTCATAAGCCAGCTCTGCAGAAGTGGCACCACGCGCTGGACGAGAAGGGGATTTTCAACACGGGCACTTCGCGCAAGGTCACCGACTGTGTGTGTGGCGCGCGGCGGTGAGAGCAGAAGATGCTACTGGCGAGGAGAGGGCCTTCCTCATCCTGCTCTGGGACCTGGCCAAGGCTTTCGAGAAAGTCTCGCACAAGATCTTGTGCCGCCTGGGCTGCGCCGAGCAGTTCCCCCTGCATGTGCTGCGCGTGGTCATCGGCGCTTTCCGCTGGAGGCGCACCCTCATGCTGGACGGCCTGGCGGGTGACAGCTTGCACCCTGAGAATGGCATCGTCGCGGGGTGCTTCTCAGCCACATACGCCCTGCAGGCGTACGTGGTGGACGAGCTGAGGGCCCAGGCGACCGAGCACCCCCAGGTCGGAATCGCGGTCCACGTGGGCGACATCAGCCAGGAGGTCGTCGCCGACAATGCGGACGCCTGCGTGGACCTCATGGTGGAGGCGGCGCGCGGGCTCAAGAGTGCCTTGCACGACGAGCTCCAGATGCAGGTTGCCGACGCGAAGGGCACCATCCTGGGCAACAGCGACGTGGTCACCACGGAGGGCATGCGCAGGCTGGCGAGCTTGGGCCTGCCGAAGCCTGAGTACACCGCCGCCGCGGCGAGGCCCCCGAGGGCGCCGCGGCGCGGGGCCCTCGGGGGCCCCGTCGACGAGCTGACTTTCGGGCAGGCCGCCGTCGGCGCGGAAGCGTCGTGCGCAACATTCACCCTGGACCTGTGCGTGGAAAGCGGTGGGAGGCAGCAAAGAAATATTCAATATGACATTCCGAGCGATGAAGGCATATCGGCAAACCCGCCGCATTTTGCACACGGCCATCTTGCCCATGAAGAAGTGGGGAGGCGAGGTCAGCGGGTTCACGGCCCAGGAGCTCGACGGCATGAGGCGCATCACCAAGCAGGTCTACGGGCACACCCACATGTCGCCAGACGTTTTCGGCGCCATGTACCCCGAGATCGACCCCTTGGGCAAGGCCGCCTTCATGCCCCTGGGCCGCTACTTAGAAGAATGGTGGAGGGCAACCGACGACAGGCATCGCCACGGCAAGGTGCTGCCCGTCACGACGTTGCGCAGGGTCTACGAGCAAGCCCTCCAGGACAACCAGAACGGGGCTCATGAGGCAGGGCCAATAGGAGCAGCGCTGAAGGCAACCGTGGTAGCAGGCTGGTCGGTGGAGAGTGCGACGGTCTTCGTGTCTCCACGGTTTGGCCGCCTTTCGGCCCTCGAGCGCGCCCCCAAGAGGATGGAGTACTTCTACCTGCGCGACGTGCTGGACAGGGTCCGTAAGCGCGCCACGGACAGCGTGAGGCGCCGAGAGAACCTGGACGAGGAGGCCCTGCCTGAGGTCTGGTGGGAGGTGATCGCGGCTGCCCTTGGCAGCAAGCACCTCACCCCGCCCGAGAAGTGGGCCATCGCCTCCGTCGTGGGGGGCGCCTACTTCGCGGGCGCCAAGATGGTCGAGTGGGGCTACGACGAGAGCGCGGGCACCTGCAGGCACTGCGGGGTGCGTGATGACTTGGCGCACCGCCTCGGACTGTGCGCGGCCTTTGCTGAGGGCCATGAGAAAGTGACCCCTCCTCCTCCCCGCCGCCAGCAAAGTGAACAGGGGGGCGAAGATAACATCGGCCCTTTCTGTCCCAGGGTGCCTTCGGTGCCCGTCAGGCCCTGGGTGGCCTCGCCCGCGACGCCAGTGAAGATGATCGTGCGAGCGTTCGTAGGAGACGAACCCGTGCCACTGGATGATTTTGAATTTGAGCCTCACTAGCCTCTCGCGGGTGACGGGTCTGCCTCCACCGGTGCCCTCGAAGAGCTCCGTCGTGGGGGATGGACGGTGGTGCAGCGGGGGAGGGGCGGGATCGTTCGCAAGCTCGTAGGCTCCCTCACCTGTCAGCTCCCTACCTCCGCTCACGCTGCCGAGCTGCAAGCATACTGCAGAGCGGCCGATTATGCCGACGGTAGCCAGCCGTATGTTGGCGACAACGCAGCGGTGTTGGCCGCTCGAGCACGCGGGCGCGCGTGCACCTTTAGCCCAGCTTGGCGTGATGCTGGGCACTGGCGCCGCGTTCGACGCGGCGACCTCGCGTACAGTGCGGGGGTGAAGGTCAAGTCTCACCAGGACGTGCCGGCCGCCCCTCAGACTGAGGGTGAGTGGCGGATCGTCCTCAACCCGTGGGCCGACGAAGCGGCCAAGGAAGCTCTCAACCTTTGGCCCAGGCGGGCCCAAGACGAGGCCACCCTGGAAGACGCCTGCGCAGAGTCGCGGCGTGGACTGGTGAATCTGGGGCGGGTGCTGGCGTGTGGGCCTGCTCCCAAGGCGGAGTGGGCTCACCTGCCCCCGCGCGTTCGGCCACCGATGGCCGTGAGGCCGTGTTTTCTGCAGCACGAGCTGCACGAGGTGGCCGATGGCCGCTGGCGGTGCGTTCAGTGCTTGCACGGCTTTCGGAACTGGAAGGCTGGCATGGCCTCAGAATGTGGGCGCGAGGCGCCCAAGAGCTGGAGGAGCCTGCGTGAATTCGCGGGCTCACATGTTTTGTGGGGGGTGGTGATTGGCCCTAGGGGCCGCCCACCCGATCGGGGTGACTTTATGCTGCACTGTGTCCAATGCGCACAGTATGCGCAGCAGCATCCCGTCGGCTTGGCCAAGACGTGCCCTGCCAAACGGCCTGGTTTTGTCCTGGACAAAATGGGCAAGGAACGGCGGAGCCGTTTCGACCGGGGCCTCCACCCCAGAACGGGAAGGAAGGAGGTCGTCCTCGAGAGCTGGGCTCTCCAGGATCTTGGTTTCCTCACTCATGGGAGTGAGTCCAGTGCGTAGTGCACCCCCGTAGCTGGCATGATCGGCGCCCCATGGAGGAGCACAAAAAAAATCCCCCTCCTCCCCCTCCTCTTGCTCCTCCTGCTCCTCCTCCTCCTCCTCCTCCTCCTCCTCCTGCTCCTGCTCCTGCTCCTGCTCCTCCTCCTCCCCCTCCGTCTCCTCCTCCTCCTCTTCCTCCTCCTCCTTCTCCTCCTCCTCCTCCTTCTCCTCAGTGCCGGTTGCTCCTCCCGGGTGGTGTTCGCACCGCCCCTGGGGCCCGGCGAGGGCCCACGGAAGACGATGCAAATGTGTTGCCTTAACTTCGCCAAGGCGGCGGATGTTTGGGTCCCCTGTCCAGAGATCGGAGTGGCGCGCCTCCCCTGCAGGGCCTCGTGCACCCGAATTCCTCTTGGCTCATCTTGCCGAAGAGCTCTCTCCTCCTCCTGGCTCCGAGGCTCTGGCCCGTCCCCTGCTGGGCCCCCCCCGCTCGGCAGCGCTCGGGCGTGCGCCTGTGTGCTTATCGGCGAGGCCAGCGTCCGAGGTCCAGGCCATCTTGGGAGAAAAGCGTACAATCAAGACGGTTGTCCCGATGCGTGTCCCGATGTGTGTCCGCACGACCAGTGGGCATCGACAGACCAAGCGATGGTGATGTCGCTAGCTGGTGATAATTACCAATAGGCAGCGAGACTCACTCATAAGCAGGCCGATAGATATAGGGGTGCTGTTGCCTTAGTGGGCCCCGGAAACGGCAGGGCCGTTTTTTCACCGTTTCCAGAAAAGTGCCCCTCGAAAACGGAAACGACGGAAAAACGGCGACCGGAAACGGCAAACAAACGGCTCCAGGATTGGAACCGGAGCCAGCGTCGGAACTGGCAAAACAACGGCAAAACGGAACCGGTAAAAAAACGGCCCTGTCGTTTCCAGGGCCCATTAAGTATTAGACCGAACATTCGAGCGATGGCAAGAGGGTGATCGTTTTCTGATTCATTGTTTTGCCGATCGGCGCGGGCCCTCGCACCCCCTCCCCTCCCCTCTATAGAGTAGATCTTGGCTGTTTGGGGCGCCCGTTTTTCGAGCAGGTGGAGTCCCTCCCCCATAGGGTGCACTGTTGCAAGCAGTCGCACCGAGCAGAGCTTTGGAGCCAGACCCCCCACCCCTTCCGCCCAGTGTCGAAACGCCGAGTAAAAAAAACGCTCACATGGCAAGAAAACGTTTTTTGCCGATGTCTTGGGCCGTTTTCGATCGGGGGAGCGTAAGACCCGGGTTTGCCAGGACTCGGGTTCGCCATCGTTTTTTGACGACCGCGACTCGGATTTTGACGAGTAGGAGTTTCGTGGGATGTCTGCAGCGGGAGGCTTCGTCAAAATGCAGGCTCGGCCTCGTCATTTTTTTGACGACCTCGTCAGGAATTTCCGAGTCCCCTGTACCCGGGTCTTATGCCCCCCTGATTCGAGCAAGGGCGGAACGAGGACAGCGAGGGAGGAGGACGACACCTCGAATCTGAGGAGTACTGCTTTGGGTCGAGCCCTGCGCTGCGCACTGTTCTGCCCCCCATCTGCAGGTCTCGGCGCAGCACGCTCCACCGTCGCAGGGGCCGTCCGTGTCGGACCTGGACCTGATCCTGCGGGAGGACCCCCGAGGGTCGGGCAGGGGCAGCAGGGAGGAGGAGGAGGAGGAGGAGGAGGAGGAGTGAGGAGGAGGAGGAGGAGGAGGAGGAGGAGGATCGGGAGGAGGAGGAGGAGGAGGAGGAGGAGGAGGAGGAGGAGGAGGGTCGGGCAGGGGCAGCGTGGGGGGGGCTACATCAACCCGCGCAGTAAGCGGATAGGCATAGGGGAGACGGCATCGACCCCTGATCGCCCACTGATTGCCTGTGGGGGTCTGCTAACAGCCCCACCCCGCCCAGGACCGTGCCGGTCTCCCATCGGGGGGGCCAATCGCCGATGCATCGGCGATGATCCGCCGATTCCAGTTCGATGAGTCCCTCACTGTGCCAGTCTAGTCTCCCCCTACCGTGAACCCGCATAGTAAGGATGAGCGATTTTGAAGGTTGCCCTTGCATCCTCCCCCTTCGGCCCATCCTTGGCCGCTTTCGCTGGCCGCGCCCCGCCCGCAGAGTGTCGGCATGGCCTTACAAGGCCCTTGCATCCTCGTCGTGCGTCCCTACCATACGAGTGGGCTGTGCCCCAACCCTCCACCTTCCACACCTTCCGACCAGCAGGTGTCGCGTGTGGTGATCTCCTCGAGGGGCAGAAGTCGGCTCAAACAGCACCTTTCGGAGTTCCGCGCGCCCCCCCCTGGCGGTCATGTTTCTGCAGAGGAAGACAACTCTGAGTTGTCTTCTTCCAGTCAGGGGGTGATGGGCTTGGAGGGGACGCATGAGCACACAGTCGCCAAGGGATGGCCCAAACGAGCCCGATAGCCCACCCCGCCCTGGAACGTGCGGGATGGCTCTCGGGGGCCTCTCTCACCCATGTGTCGGCGATGCATCGCCGATTCCGGCTCGATGTTTCCCTCCGAAGCCTATCCCCCCCCACACACGTTTCCCCTCAGTCGGGTCTGGCGCAAGGGAGGGCGGGCTGGGTCGAAGAGGACAGACTTGCGTGAACACAAGCTTTCGGCGCTCCGCGCGGATTTCTCGGATCCGAGCTGGGCTCCCCCAGAGGCGCTTTCGGCGCCGACCCTTGCGCGCTCCGTGCGCCAGGGAGGGGGGCCCAGCGCGGATCCAAGAAATCCGCGCGGAGCGTGAACAAAAATACGTTTATTGCGTCTTCTATTGGGGGTGAATACGAAATTAGCTACGACGTGTGCTGATTCGGTACCGCCCCTTTGTTATCCCCTCTTGGGTTACGGGAGCGTCTTCCTTCCGAGGAGGCGGGAGGGGAAGGGAGGCCGGTAGAGGCGCGGAAGGCGAGGACGAGGAAGGTGAGCAGGGGGAGGGAGTCGAGGAGGAGGAGGAGGAGGAGGAGGAAGAGGAGGAGGACGGGGAGACGCCAGGGATGTTCGGGGTTTGCGGGGAGGAGGCGGGTCGCGGAGGTATCGAGATTTTCGTCGGGCTCCTTTTTGGGTTGCTGCTTGGGGCGGGGGCTTGGAGCGGAGGAGGAGGAGGAGGAGGAGGAGGAGGAGGAGGAGGAGGGGGGGAAGAGAGGCGGTGGGGGCGCAGGACGAGAAGAGCCTTAGGATTAAGTCGGGCCTGTCCCTCTACAGGAGGAATTATTCAAACATTGTCAACACAGGATTTGTGACCTTTTTTGTATTACCATTTGTGTTGTTTGTTTCATGTTAGGGGTATTTTCAACTGTTCTCCTAAAATCCGCCTGTAGGGGGACATGCCCGACCTAAGCTTAGGAGGGAAAAGGATGGGATGAATCGAAGATTCAGCAGTTGGATTTACACAAGAAGCGAACGCAAAGCTCTCAGCGATACTGAAAATGGCTCGAAGCAACGCAGCTCGCTTTGCGGGCTGACACCCGTCAGAACGCAGACGATGTGTGTGCATGTGCGTGTGTGCGTGTGTGACGACGACGTTGTCCTTCCCTCCTCCTCCCTCCTGTGTGTGTTTGTGTGTGCGTGTGCGACGACGACGTTGTCCTTCCTCCTCCTCCTCATCCTCATCCTCATCCCTGGTCCCTCAGCCCTCCTCCACCCTCCCTTCTCCCTCCTCCCTCCTCCCTCGTCCCTTCCCCCTCCCTCCTCCCTCCTCCCTCCCTCCCTCCTCCCTCCTCCTCCTGCTTTTTCCTACTTCCTCCTCTCTCCTCCCTCTGCCGCCACGATATAGTCGCCAGGGGTGTCCTGAGGTCTTTCGCTGTGGCCGGGGGCCCTTCACGGGCCCTCCACGGGCCCCGGGACCGTCAGAGCACGGCTCGGGATGAATCGAGCTCGCTTTGGGGGAAGGCCCCCTTTGTCTCCCCCATGGCAAGGCTGAGGACATGAAGACGCGTGTCCAAGCGCACTGATCAGCGACGGGCCCAGCCTCCGTGCAGCATCGGTGCGCTCCGTCGCTCACTGACACGACAGCGGTGCCGTGCTTCGGGGGGGGAGCGTTCTTTTCTCCGATCCGTGGATGCGGTGCCCCCGCCCCGCATCCTCAGTCCATGTCAGCGTGCGCCCGATCCACAAGTTTCCCCAGGGGCAGGAAGCTGTGCTTCGCGTCGATCCTTCTCGCACATTCCCCTTCATCCCCCGTCGCCCGTTCGGGCTTTTTTGCAATTGCGGGGCGATGAACATGGGAATCGCGGGCTGCAGGAAAAGGGTTCCAGAGGGGCCCCTGGGGTCCCTGGAGCCCCCAAGGTGCACGAAAGGTGCACCCTTGTTCACCCCCCTCGTTTTATCGCCCCCACACTACACAACGCCCACAATTCTGCCACGGCGCGAGAATGCCGGCCGGGGGGACGATAGGGGGTGAGAGGCTCAAGGGGGAACGCATCGACCTCCAACCAATCGGCCAATGATCGTCGATCGGAGCCTGATAGCCCCACCCAGCCCAGGAACGTTCGGATCTCCCCACCGGGGGGCCTATAGCCGATATGTCGGCCATGTGTCGCCGATGCCAGGTCGATGCTTCCCCCCCTGTGCCAGTCCCGCCCGACCGGTGTTACTCACGTCAGGGCCGCACGCTGTCCACGCAACGAAGACTTAGCATCGCTCGGACGTGTGAGTTCGTTCTGTTCTGGGCAAGGACCATCTAGGAGCATATTAGTTCACCTTGCGAAAATTGCACGCACGAAACCAAAACATGCACAGGGAATGGACGTCCGAGCGATGGCGAGACGAGCGTGGACCTCCGAGCGATGGCGGAAAATATGCACGCACGAAACTGAAACACGCACAGGGGCGTTGCATTATCTCGGGCACGTCCCTCTACAGGAGGGAGCATTCAAACAGAATCAAACAACAGTCTGGGGACGATGTTTCTAGCAAGGTTGCTTATGTTTGAGCATGCCTCGGCCATGTTCAATGCTCCTTCCAAAAGCCGCCTGTAGGAGGACATGCCCGACCCGAGCGCTGCCCCATCACGTCGGGGCCCCGCGCTCCCCACGCAGCGACGAGGGGCACGCGGGCGGCTCCGGGCAGCCCGCGGGGCGGGCCGCCCGCGGAGCGGCGCCCGCCGCCCGCGAGGACCACGCCGACATCAGCGTCAAGCTGTGCCTCGCGCTCGTGTGCATGTGCCTCCCGCAGGCGGGCCCGCGCCGGGCAGGGCCACCCCAGCGAGCGTCGGGGCTCCTCCTCCTCCTCCTCCTCCTCCTCCTCCTCCTCCTGGGGGTGCGAAGCCCCTGGGGGACCCCTCGTGGAAAACCCGCTCCCCCCCAAACCCCCTTTGGAGCCCCCTGGTCTCTGGAGGCCCCCCCAAACGGCGAACACCGCCCTCCTCGTCGTGCTCTCTGGGGGCGTCGAGGGCCTGGGCCTCTGTGCCGACGCAGCCCGCCGCGCGGGGGCCGCGGCCCTCCTCGCCGCGCTGGCTCGGTGTCTCGCCCAGGCGCCCAGCCCGAGACATCCTCGAGAGCTCTCGGTCTGCGGCCGCGCCGATGGCGAGCAGCCTCCTCTTTCTGGACTCCCGAATTGGGTACGGAAAGAATGGGTACAATGCCCTCCTCCTCCTCCTCCTCCTCTTCCTCCTCCTACTCCTACTCCTACTCCTCATCCTCCTCCTCATCCTGCCCTCGTTCGTCTCTGCACGAACGAACTGGATACGGAAAGAATGGGTACGATGCCCAACAGCAGTTCCTGTTCATTCTGAACAGGACTCGCTGTCCGCGCCGCCGCGGCCTGTGTCCATGTGAGACAGAAGGCCGCCTGCCCAACAGCGGCCGCTGCTGGTTTGGGACAGCATTTGCTGTTGGGCATTGTACCCATTTTTCCGTACCCATTTCGGGCGTCCAAATCAAGAGACGGGGGTCAGTCCAAACGGGGGTCAGCCAGAGCACCTGATCTTGCAGGACCTTGCAGGGCCCGGGCTGCGCTGACCCCAGCGAGCCGGGCAGGGTCACCCTAGCGAGCGAGCGGGCGTGCTTGCCATGCTCGGCGGCGAGCGAGGGGGGGGGGAAGCGAGATGGAGAAAGCTTTCTCAGAAGGCTCGGAGGGGTTTTCAAAGCCTTCCCGGAAGCCTTCCCCGCCTCCTGAGAGGTGTTCGAAGCTTTCCCGGAAGACACAGGGAGGCTCTCAGAAGGCGCGAGGGTTCTGAGAAGTCCCGCCGCCTTTGGAGGAGGTCTTCTCCTTCTCACTCCCCCCCCATCGCTCCCCGCCGACATGTGCAGGCACGACGCTGAAAGAAAGACCACCCTGGGCTCCGGAGGGGCCTTGGTCTTCGGACCGTGCCTCAGATGTGGGTCGTGCAGCCTGTGGGTGGCCGGGGTTGGCCGTGACCAGGAGAGACCCTCCGTTCCTTGGGTTGCGTTCCTGCTGTTGGCACTCTGGCTGAAGGTCTCCCAGATGGGGTCCGAGCAGGTGAGGTCGGAGGATCGCGCCGCATCACCGATGCATCGGCGATGCGGCGCGATGTGGAGCCCGACCTGCTCCACGCCGACGGCGCCGATGCATCGCCGATGTCGCCGACGTATTGACGAT